TGACTGGCTGTCTTGCCTAGTACCCTTCCCCTGGCCTCAGTATTGCTCACACAGGGATTTCCATAAACGCTAGCAATGCTACGAAAACATATGTGATCAAAACCCTATAAATACTATATGACATCCACTTTCAACAGTTAATTCTCACAGTCGTATAATAAAACAGAAGGGACTACAGTGGGTGAGTTTATCCATCCTTTGATAGACAGTCATATATCTTGCCAGCTCCACAGGTGATGTAAATTGGCAAGTGCCAAACAAGCCACCCGTATCAATAAGTCAAACTAATTTCGTCATATGGCCATTAAAAAAAAAAGAAGCAAAGTGCACCACAGTGTTTCAACAAAGCTATCCAACTGTTTACTTATAGAGAAATTCATGGGTTCCATTTTATATTACGTCAAATAAAGTATTCGATACTACCTCCTAATTCTTGTTATCCTGTGATGAAAGCCACTTATATGACTGTACGTCAGTAATATTCATGGCAACATTATAAAACACAAAAGGTGACTCGATACGGTGTTCGAGATCACAGAGTGCTGAAGATGATGCCAACAGGTCAGGATCCTTGTTTTAAAGATAAATAATTTTCATCACCTCTGGGACACCTAGAGACCAAGCGGATGCGAACGAAACCATATTACTCACAGATGAATAGCATGACAAAAAAAAGTTATAAGCTACAGAAATGGCTGGCCTTGAAAGGAGGTAACTGGAAGGTAGAACTACTATCCATTTTGTTAACATTTTGTGCCTCAGTGTAAAGGATAAGTAAGAAACCGTCCTTTCAGCTTATTTATGGTTGACAATCGTGGTTGTCAACATACACTAAGACCTATCAGCAGCCACAAAGATGAAGTTTGACGTGGTTAATAACTAACGAAAAGAAAGCTATGAGTAATGTAGAAAATAGGCAAAAGGCGAACATCGAGAAGCCTAAATCGTAAAAATTTCAGAAACTGAAACCATTCTGACCAGTTTAAGGTAAAGAACAAAGGCACACCATAAGAGATGGACCAGATTCTGGAGGGATTTTCCCAATATGAAAAACCATCTGTGTTGACAGATTAGACTATAGGCCAACTAACTTTAGAGATTGAAGAGGTATCAGACTACGTCATGGATATGAGATATTGTAAAGTCAGTTTTCTAATAACCGTCACCATCTACCTAAGACAAACGATTTTTGGCAATGGTGTATTGAGATGAATGGGTGTCATGATTAACGCAAAAAATAGGGTGGGTGACTATAAAGTACCGGTGATTTGATATACATGAAAAATATAAGGTAGCACAGATGCTGGAGCTGAAAAGTCTTCAAGTAGACTCACCCCATAATTATGGAGTTGGTTGGAAAGTGTGAAAGGTTATTCAGTAGAAATGGAGATGGATATAGCTACAGTGAAAAAAGTTACACCAGAAATTCCAGTGGTGAATTAGTGAATGATGACCTTTTCAATGCATTGATTTCCAGTTCGATAAGAAGTTAGAGTCAAGAGACAGGTTCAAGAAATGATAAACAAAGGGGTCATTAAAAAATATGACAACCTCTACAGTTCACTGGTTCTCCTCATGAAAAAACCTAGTGGAAATTACTTATTCTGGTTGATTTTTTAGGAGTGAAACAGTAAAACTGAGCTGAAACCATATGCTAAGTTGACAGTAGCCGAAAAATTGGAAAGGCTGGAAAATGCTGAATTATTTACAGTATTAAACCTCCGATCTGTAAATCAGTAATTGCCGATAAAAAGAAAGTGACGGAGATGAAACAGCATTCATCGTGGGACAGAAACAACCTTAGTTCATTCAAGTGTCATTTGGACTACCACTTATCTTTAGACACTTGATGACTTCAGCGTTTAAAAACATGAAAGTGTACGGTGATGATTTAGCGGTGTACACCTAGACGGATGAAAAAGAAAAATTTTGAAAGTGGATATAGTGAAGACTGATAATTTGTTCAGCAGGTTAATGAAGATAAAGAGTAAATTTATTTAAGTTGCTGAGACAAATTTCGAATCATGCTAATCAAGAGTTGTAAACCTTGATTTCTAAGTCTTCACTCCGTAAAGAGTAGAAACAAACTCTCAATGAACTCATGGGTCAGTATCATTTCTGATTCTAATTATTCTTAGTTTTCCTCCAGTATAATTATACAACAGCTTGTATTTAACACGAAGGCAGGTAGAGTTTCAGCATATCTAACTTATGTCTTTAACATCTCAGTCAAAATTCAATCAAAAACTCACTTTCTGACTGACTTTCAAGACATCAAAGTCTTTTGTGTAATTGTAGTATTTCTCATTCGGTAGCTGTATCAGATTTCAGTAATGCCTTCAAAAAATCTATGATCAAAAACGTTTAGCTGTCTAATCTTATCTGCGTTCACCATCCATCTCACAGCAGCTAAATAGTACAGACGTTTTCTAAGCAGTGTATTCATACTCTGACTAGTATTCATTAAGGGGTAGACATGGAGCAAGTTGGTTAACAAGCCTTTCGTACTGTCATCCAGAAATTGTTAGTATACAGTCTATAGGCAATTCTAAAACTTTTAACATATAAAAAGTGATGTACACCTTCTTTGGCTTCTGTCCAAATGCTCAAAATAGAATCTGGTACTTATCAAAACTAGAATGTCATTTTGGATCCTACAGATGAGAAATGTAACAACCCTTCCAAGACTCTCACTGAAGCCGTTCAATGAATTTTAAGCCTTCTTAACATTTCAAACCAGTAATTCGTCATCCAAATGCTGCAGACCAATCATATGATTTCGGTATCATCTTCTTCAGGGATGATCTCATGAAACAATGCTTTCTTTTTGTCGTCCAAATAGCCATCAGCTATTAGCCGATGCGTTCACCTTCAGTATTTTCTAGACCTATACTACCCACCAGTTTTTGAAGTCATTGTGAATATTCTAGACAAATTAGCATTCTATCTGCTTTCACTTTTTGTTGTATGCCAAAGTAGTTAGGATTAGTCGCAATGCACCGTTCTCGTCAAAATAACCCCTTGAAATATTATTTATTTGTCATTTGATATTAAGTATCTGTATATGAACTAATACACGTTTCATGCTTTTAATAGTAAATTTCAGCGAAAACGGGACTTCAAGTGAATGTAGAGAAGACAGAGATAGAAGTGATGAAGATGCTCAACGAACAACAGCATCGATATCAAGCAACAATCACCACTAACGGGATAAACCTAAATGATGTAGTCTCTTTCACCTACCTAGGCAGCATCGTTTCAACTACAGGCGGTGGCAGCACAGACGAGGATGTCAAAATCAGGATCGGAAAAGCAAGACAGGCTTTCATTAGTCAGAAAACACTGTGATCTACTACACCCAGCATAAAGCATAAACAAGATCCTGATTTTCAACACTTATGTCAAGTCAATGCTTCTATGTAGCGGTTGAGATTCTTGGCGCGTCACGAAAAACACTTCCAACAAACCACAGACATTCATCAATAGCTGCCTACCCCTACTCGATACTGAAGATCAGATGGCCAGAACAATAAGAATAAGCAATAAGGAACTCTGGTTGGCAACGAACCAACCAACAACCTATCGCCCAACAAATATGCAGAAGGAGAATGTGGAAATGGATTGGGCGTATACTGAGAAGGCCGATTGGAGACATGACTCACCAGGCCAGGCCGTTGAGTGAAACGCAGATTGGAAGCGACGAGTTGGGCGTTCGAGGAGAGGGCAACATGGAGGAGATTGTGCGAAGAGGAAATGAAAGCTTATGGGGAGTCATGGAGCGAGATTCAAAGGACTGCAGAGACCAGAGTGCACTGGAGACGTGCTACTGAAGCCGTATGTTCCACTAGGAACCCAAAGGACAAGTAATAATAAGGATAGTAAATTTATGGTGCGACAGGTTCATTACACAAAATCTACCATAAAGTAGATTGTTAACGATTAGCATATGGCAACCAGTTCTGAGGTTTTCGCACTTTACTGTTACTGCTTGTTTACGATTAGAAATAAAATATATGTAACTGCTAAAACTGTGAATAATAGTGATAATTATCAGGCGTATTTCTTGCAAAAAAGTGATCTGCGCATGTTATTAACACTAGACCATCGAATTTTTCCCAATTAAGAAGTATTGAATCTACCATTTATTCCTACCAGGGTTTACGTTCACTGGATTCATTTTATGCTACCAAGCGCCATAAAACTATTATTTTGTATCTCATAAAGATGATTCCAACTCTTGTAAAGAGATAAACTGCGATCCACACAATCGTTGTCAAGATTTTTCATCTGACTGTCAAGACCCTAGTACCGGTATTGGGTAATGATTGTAGGTGAAATGAAAATTTAGGGCGTACATGATTCGAAGCGGCGACCACCGAGTTACTGACTCGGTTCGCCACCAACTAGACTTCGAGACCAATTAACCGGTTAGATTTTTATTTCACTTTAATTACGGATTATAAATGAAAGTCTGCCATATCACGGTTATCTCAGATAGCCAAACTTATAAGATACTAGTAGCTGGAGTTGAGTTGGAACACATGATTCAGTGGTTAGGAACCAAATAGAATAGCCAGTACGTCCCTTTTCTGCTAAGATTTAACCAATTCAAACCAACTCACAGCATTACTCAACAAAGTTATCTAGATAACGAAAATGATATTGAATTGTGTTGCTTTCTTTTAAAATATGAGCTTTACATTATTATATAGAGTAATCAGTGAAAGATCTGATGAAACATATGATCTTTATTTAATCTTAGCATCATATGACATTATCTACTTGAAGTAAAGTCATTATTGAGCCTAATTGAACAATTCCCAATTTTGGTGTTTGAGTCAATTTAAATGAAGATTCTTTATGAAGATGAAAATAGAAACCTAATTTCAGAATAATATTAATTGACAGTAGTTTTTTTTAAATGAATAAGAGAATATTTCAGTGAGTTAACCTGTTGACCTTCACAAATATTTCAACTGACCAATATGTTACTAACTTACTTTTCTATACTTTTTCCAGCCGAAACAATTCTTTGAAATATTTGTTTGTATACTATCGTTGAATTGAAAAGAATTTACTTTTGACAAACTATGATCTTTACCAGTACTTAGCGAATAGTTAAAAAACTTTTCTTCTGATGATGGTTGTACTGATAATGACTGATAGTTAAATGAATCTGTAGCAAAGTGAGAAAGGCAACTGGGAACATTGTGGTCATTACAAGTAGTAATTTCATTTTCATGTTCATGAGGTGTTTCATTTGAATAGTTTGTTAAACTGATAGGTAGTTTTTTTGATTTCAACAACTTCAACAAACTCTTTTTTTCTTCACATTCTGGAAAATCTCTTAATGCATACTTGACAAATAATTTAGCATGTTTTAGATAACCATAAGTCTCAATATAATCTTCATATAACTTAACGAGCACACTTTTAATATGAATTAGCTTACATTGACAGAATGACGATGATGATTGTGACAGTGGTAATGATGGTAAGCAAGGATCTGTAGTACTACTAATACTACTGTCAGTAGTAGTGTTAACATGAATATATTTTAGTTGATCGTTGTTTAATTCACACCCCCATTTCTTTACCGAAAGAATAAATGATCTAGTTATGGGCAACAAAATTACATGTTCAATAATATATGGGTCTTCAATTACAAATTTAACATTGGATCTTGTAGTTTTCAAATAGAATCCTTTGAAACATGTATCACTACCTTCATTGACGTAATTAGTAGTATTGGTGGTAGCGTAAGCACCAGTAATTATTCCATTATTGTCATCGAGGATTCGAATTTGCACATTGTTATCCTCTAGTCTCAAATGCATAATAGGAACCTCATAGTATGTGTGTTCATTCTTGCATGGTGATGGTAAAAAGGATGACTGTAAGCCGTATTGACTACTGAACATCGGACTGTCCAAGAGATCTTTGGGTAGCAGGGTTATAGCTGTTGGACTTAAGTTTTCGTTCTCATCAAAGCAGTTACTAATATCACTTATATTACAATTACTGCTGCTAGGAGTAACATCAGAGTTGACACTACCCTCTGGCTTTGGCTTCATGATGCAATCATTTCGTCTTGCACAATGGAATTTATTTTGTTCCTTAGTGTTACAGGAAAAAGAGAATTAGGGGGGGGGGGGTAATCACATGTTTAATTTATGCTTAGGCGGTTATCTTTCATGATACTATATTGAAAACACGCATATATGCGTGCAAGAGAGCATGATAGCCATCATATGAAGCTTTTATCATTTTCATGCGAATGAAAATCAGGTCAGATATGCTTAATCAAGAGAACAATCTTTAAACCAAATGAACTAATTGATACTATTTCTTTGATTATCAATAAATTTTCCCTACTATTAAGATGACCCAGTTTTTCCGCTTTCATTTAGAAAAATGCAAATGCTGGCGACTGCGTTAGAAGAGTTCGCGTGGAATACTGCATTGATTAGGACATGGTTTCAATCAATCGATTAAGTACGCAATTTATTTCAGTCATTCTATGAAAAGCGACAACTGTCAATGTGTTTGAAAGTTCTAGATGAAGATGTGAACTACTTGAAGCTATTGTCAGTAGCATAAATGTTTTCCAAAAATTAAACGAGCTTTTCTTTCGGTTGTTGACATACAAAGATACAGCATTATTTACTGAATGACGTTTCGACCTTAAGTTATTTCTTATAGTTATATCAAAGTAATCATACGACTTTCAACAAATGACTTCATGTTTCTAAAACCCAGTATTTTCTATACCAATAGAAACTCACTTGTGGAAAACCTTAGAAGCAAAATTATACCGAACAAATAGTTTTGCAGACCTGATAACATTATCAGGTCATTAGTACCAGCAGAACAACTGAGTGTTATAAAATACATATTAAGACTAGAGACTTGAGGTCATGCCAAGTAACCGATACTACTTACTATCTATACACCATTTTAACTCACTGAGCATTAAAGTAACCAATGAAAGTTTCTGGTTAACGTAAACGATATCAGACTAGTCATACGACTGTGTACTTTACAGAATGTACTTTTTTGGATTAATGACGGCCTCATTTATTATGAGAAAGTTGAATAAATGGAAAAAGAATATTACATTTTGTAGAGAGATTTCAGAAATAATGACAAACAGGAAGTATATCAAAGAGAAGTGGTTTTCAATATCATTTTTGCTTGAAACAATTAGTCCCTTTAATAAATTTCGATAACGCTGTTAGAAGACAAAGACTATCTGAAAAATGTGATGTATTTGCGCAATACATTTTGAACAATCTGATCACACATTTACTTGTCAAGTCAATTTATATATGAAAGTTCAAGGTCAAATATAGTGAAAATGAAAACGTTGTGACACTAGTCTTGATAATATAATCAGATGAGGATTATCAAGGTAAATTAAGTGAAACAACAAATTGTTTTGTACACACAGCTGGGGATTAAGTTTACGAATGGCTAACGCTTTTCGTTTTCACTATATTTGACCTTTAATTTCCATATATAAATTGACTTGACAAGTAAATGTGTGATCAGATTGTTCGAAATGTATTGCGCAAATGCACATCACATTTTTCAGATAATCTTAGTCTCGTAATAGCGTTATCGAGAATCATTTTTGTTGTCTAACTAGAAAAGCTAATCCTAATGTATTTGTAATCTTACTCATTTCATTTTCAGAGTAGGTCTGAAAACCGCTCCAATTTTAATGATATGTATTAGTACGCTTTTAAGATTGTTCGATTTTATTAAATATAAGTCTATCTCTGTTCGGTTTGTAAGCCAATGATTTACCTTTTCAGTGTTGTTTAAAACAGATCAGCAAATCCTTACAAACCTCTGAAGTGAATTATCTTTTACTGCTTATTAGTGACTTGCCTCGAGAACAGATTACCTAAGTTTTAATGAGAAGTCATGACTGGTGAAGAAAGCCAAGGTTGATGTGAAGACAGTTACTTAACGAAGACATTAGATAAAGATTACAGTGTACAGCGGATTGAAAGAAGCTGGAAAATGTGGACTGCTGGACCCTAATCCAGTGACCATAGGTCCTGGGCTCAGGCCCCCGGGTCGTGGGTAAGCACTACCGAGGAGTATCGTGCTAGTAGGGAGCAGCTGTCATGGTCTGCTGGATTTTAGATAGTTCCCTAAGTGATTCTGTCCTTGATGGATACCAGCTTCAAATCAACAAATAACTCTCTACAAACCCACAAGTAGGGTATTTATTTGTTTACTTTCACATTTTCTTGTCAGCCGTGCAGACCATCGTAGCTAAGTGAGTGAATAAAAGTACTGAAATGAAACATTTTGGTCAACAGTGCAGTGAATGGGTGACTAGTAGAACCAAATACCTACATAAACAACTTCAACACTTATTTCACCACGGTCGATTGATGATTATCAGCAGCCCAACTAACGCATATTAAGGGACCAAGTTGTTGGTCAACTAATCCTGGATATAATGCTAATATTTGAAAACCGGGAACAGAATAATCATGAAATAATGCAGGCTCATATATAGGGAAATCGGGTCAAGTTAAAATAGCTGTAATCTGACCTTCAACTGACGAATAATGCACAGGTTAGAGAACAGTGAATAAGTTTTTTCTAACAAATGCAAAGATTTACTTTTGTCAGTCCCAAAATAAATTTGTCAAGATGATTACCTGATGACCCCATTTAGGTAAGAACTTACCAATGACTTAACACTCAAGTACATTTAAAAATTGAATAGTATTTCAGGCCTCAACAGAGTGATTACTACTAATTTACACCAACCACCACATGAATTGATATAAGCAGCAAACGTTTTATCTTATGGTCAGTCGCAAAAGTTAATTGGAGAGCAGTGTGGAAGGAAATTAAGGGAAAATGACGAGGAGGACCACAAGTAGCTCCTGATTTTTTTATGTAGCATAAAATTTAAATGAAGATCGTAATGACACTTTTATTATATACTTTCCTCACTTATAAGTGAAGAGATGACTGAACATTAAGCCATTATTAGGGCTTTATACTATGTATCAAGACTGCTTAGTCTGATCAGATAACATACGGTAAAAACTAATTCTGAAGCAATGTCATGGATATTTTTCCAGTGGGCAGCAACTGAATATGCGTTCATAATTCCCATTGTGACATCAAAAAAGAGATATTCAGCTAAAAGGGTTTTTTTCAACGAATTTATTCTGAATCTGTACATTCGCGCATATATATATATATATATATATATATATATATATATATATATATATATATACATATATATACGTGTTGACAAAACATTTTCAGTTTACTCCAATTAAAAATACACCTTATACTCCAGTTACCTTGCCTCACTTATATCACCTAATCCTTAGATTTTTTAATAATGTTCCCACCCTTTTTAATATATATGCACTTTATAAATGATTTGAAAATCTTAAGTAACCCGTTTTTGTTATCATTCGACATTTACATCATCATAGAGCAACTGAATAGTTCATAAATTCCTTATCTGTAGTGTTCAGTCTTTTGGTTACTGACTAGAGGCACACTTGTGGAAAGAACAATTTACGCAATAGATGGGTGGAAAGTGCAGTAAGCAAATTTACACAAGCTGCATTTTTCAGACTATTGCTTAATCATGAAGGTTGATCATGAAAACTTCAATAACCGTTTATACTACTTATAAGTAGTAAAGAAACAACTGTAGATTTTATGATGACTATTTCTATTGCATGATAATAAACCTTTGAAGAGCATATGATGAATATATTTTATGAGGCGTATCTTAAGCAGAAACCTAATTTATTCGCCTAGTTGATCGAAAAATAGTATAGTGGTAGGGGTTTTCATATAATCTTCACTTTTCAGGAGTAACTAGTTATTTTAATTTTCTTGGTGGTGGCTAGCCGTGGAATCTGCGACGGGCGTTTCTTTCATTTTGGGACTCATCAGCTGGATAAATCGTGTTATTTCTACTGAGACTTGGTCGAATGTACAGTCTATCATTTCAAACGCCAAAGCACTATACAGTAGATCAGTTAGGCACGAATCTGAAGTGGGACGAAAAGAGGGTCCTGGACTGCCCTGTTAACCACCATTAAGCAAATTACAACATGATGAGATATCCGCCCATAAGCAAATATGCCCACAGTGCTATATCACTTTGATCCACCATAAGTATGGGAAATTAAAAGTATCAATAAGTAACTGGATAATGGTTAGACTATTTGAGGTGAACGTGGTATTTTATTATTTATTATTAGTCCCTTGGGTTCCTAATGGAACATAGGGCTTCAGTAGCACGTCTCCAGTGACCTCTGTTCTCTGAAATCTTTTGAACCTGGCTCCACGACAGCTCACAAGCTCTCATTTCCTCCTCGCATGACCTCCTCCATGTCACCCCTAACTTGGACGTTCAACTCGTCGCTTCCCATCTGGGTTTCACTCAACGGCCTGGCCTGGTGCGTCATGTCCCCAGTCGGCCTTCTCGGTGTATGCCCAATCCATCTCCACTTCCTTCCAGTGCATATTTGTTCAGCGGTAGCTTCTTGGTTGGTTCGTTGCCAGAGATCCTTGCTACTCATTCTTTCTGGCCATCCGATCTTCAGTAACGAGCCAGCGTAGGGGGCAGTTGCTGATGAACGTCTGTAGTTTATTGGAAATCCCTTTCGTAACGCGCCAAGTCTCTGAACCATACAGAAGCACTGAATTGGTGTTGAAAATCAGGATCTTGTTCCACATGCTGAGTGCAGAAGATCTCCACACTGGTTTCAGGCTAATGAATGCCTGTCTTGCTATCTTTCCGGCCCTGGCTTTGACATCCTCGTATGTGCCGCCTGTAGTTGAAACAGTGCTTCCTAGATAGGTGAAGGAGGTCACTTCCTTCAAGTTTCTCCCGTTGATGGTGATTGGAGTTTGTTGTTGTTGGTGCGGCATCTTCATCACCTCTGTCTTCTCTATATTCACCTGAAGTCCCGTCTTCTCTGCCCTGCATCACCTCTTCTGTCAACTTGTTAGTTTTCACCTGTAGATCTTCAAGTTTGTGTGACATCAGACACAAGCCATCAGCGAAATCCAGATCTTCTAG